TTGTGTAATTACAAGATTTGAAAAACATATTGTTAAGTATCCTACATTAGTATTGGTATTAATTAAATACACACCATAGCAATAGTGATAACTGGGTRTTGATTTTTGATATTCAGTAAACATTTAACACAATAATAATATAATATACTTACGATTCTTATCGAAGACGAGAATCTAATGATTTTATAATGTCGTATTCGTTCATCGTTGTCTGCGAAACAACTATAAAGATACCTAGTCATAACCTTATCTAAAAATGATTTAGATCGACGACATGTTTTATATTTCRTATATAATTTAAAAATGTATATTATTTTATCAAAGTTAAACTTTTTATGGTGGGGATGTGACGACACAAATTTTATTGAAAAAATTCTAATATTATCTTTATAAAATTATTTAATACATTAAATCTATTAACATTAATATAATATAAATAGGTCGATGTATTCTGCAGGTCCTCCAGGTTGGAGAGTTTGGCTTCAAGATKGACAACCACTTTCAGTGTTAAGTAATCACAGTCAAAAACAGTTTTGGAAAAATTATCATAATAGTCTAAATTTGAAATTCAAAAAAAAATTGATATAAATAAAATAAGTGTGAAAGACATTAAATACTGAAAATGACAGTTTAATTGCAAAGAATTCTGAAACTAGAACGAATAATGTAATTTTTTTAAACACATCAATAATTACAAAATGTACTATTCTCTAAAGCACAATATTTATTTTAAATAATATTTCAATAAAATATRTTACATTTAATACATATTAGGTACTATCATAATTTAAAACTTCTGTTTATATTAATAAAACTCATTTCTGATAATAAATTTGCAATTTAATTGTTTAAAATAAGAAATATTTATAATATAATCGGTTATTCATATTCATTAATATCAAGTGAAATACATACATCACTTTTTTCATTACAACCTAAATTAAATTACATTTTTAAGATAAAATATTTATTTATAGTTATTGTTTCATTAACAATTAAATTTTATATAAAAGTGAATATTACAAATTTATAATAATAGWAGCAATTATTAAAGTTGCTACATATATTATGTTTTAAGATCGATAGTAAGTTAGTAGTCCAAACTTTTATATTTCATTTAGATTGATAACAACTGCGATACATTGACGCATGATATAAGGTACAACAGCTGATTCATTCGTCGTTAAATAGTTTGAAGTTTTATTATTATWGCTTTAGTTTTTATTATTGTGTTAGTATTGTACTGTTAGCGTTTAATAAACCCAATTATAACGCAATTTATGAGACTCAGTTATAAACTTTTTTTAGTAATATCCAACAAATAAATAATTATTCCCGAAACGAAATTAACCATAATAGGTTAGGTAATAAAGCAAAGCAAATATAATTGAATTTCTTGATGGAAATTCTTAAATAAACTACATTGAACTCGTTAATAATTATTTTAGCGTTCTATTGTTACCTAAGCACCAACAATTTGTTCAAGTATGGTATTGAATATKCTGGACTCATATTTTATGGCAGTTGAATATTTTTTTAGCATATTGACGAGATTTTATTTCATCGATGTTAGTATTTGTGAATAAAAAACTAATTCATATTTTATTGGGCACGTTATGGAATATGGTACAATTCGTCATAATTCATAAAATGTTATTTCGTGATGCATTTATTTTAGGAATACAATTCCATTTACGTGTGCAATGTGCATTTTTAAATTATATATATTGTATTCTTGTTGCATTCAATAGGTCAGTCGATGTTGACTTRAAATKCATACTATATTTATTGTTATAACACTATAAATAGAATCTATGCATATACATATAAATACACGTAGGTATTTACACATAGATAACATGATAGAATATGTACGTATACTCCACATTAGAGGTTACAAAACGTACGTACGTACATACGTAACAAAACCATAACACGATCAACATATTTTAGTACATGCGCAATAATAATCGATGCACCTAGTCAGCGTATTGTCCTCAGGGATAAGGTAATTTCAGAACTAACTAGTCACTTGTGTGTAATAAATTGGTCAGAAATACAATATAGTAATAGGCCGTATAGGTGCAACAAAATAGCAAACAATTGATTGATTAATGGATAGTCGTTTTGGAGATTATTAAATCTTGGTAACATATTCCTTTATAACCATTCGAATGTGCAATATTTATGACACTGTAATTTGTTTGGGCGATGATGWAWTTATTAGTGTCAAAGTGACATTATTTTTTTTTCCACGACGTTTGAGTGCGTAAAATATTATGACTGTTGACGTACTAAAAACACACCATTTTTTTTTTAACACTAATATATTATAAGTTCTATAGTATAATATAAATGTACAAATAATGGCTCCTCAGTCAAGCAAACCACCCGATTAGACATTGCTTGTTTAAAATGTCCCAGATTACATCGTTGTATTTTATAGTGTTATTACTATGTGACGACAACACATCGATTGAATATGTAAATATATTTCGATATTATACATAATACCAACGATTTTGTTTAAAAAAGATATTAGGTAAAATGTCGATTTGTTTGTAGTAGTAGTAGTGTTTGAAGCGGATATAGTACATATTATAGTAACAAATATTTAACYGAGTTGTTTTGCTTATATCCAATTTCCTGATATAAAAATACGTAATAATAAATAATTATTCAGTTATTTTATTAATTGAAGTGTAAATTTAGTAGCCATCGAAAATGGAAAATACACATTATACAGGTGTATTGAAAAACAATAATATTATTGGAAATCAGTTAATTGCACGGACATAATAAAATATTTTTTTAGCCGAAAATGGTTTTTTTATTATTTTTGAATCTGTAAATAATTTGAACCTAATTTAACATGCATGCTGCTATATTATAATAATTGACTTAGAGTCGAATATATTTTATACGTAGTTACAAAAATTATCAATGTAGTCTTGCCGCGCTTTCAATAAGCTTAATATACAATAACTTTATTATAGAAATGATTAAACACTTATTCGAAGGATAAATTTGTCGTTTGTGTAAAATTTTCTATACTTACTCTATTAAATAAATAATATAATAATAACAACAGTTTTTCTGTATGCCRAATTCAAAGATGGACTTTTCTTACAATACCATGGGTAGTGTGTTTTTTTGTTTTGGAACAAATATCCTAAGGAAATACCTACCCATTTAAACTTACAATACGTTTGAACATAGTGACATGTTGAATGTTGAAATAAACATTTGCTCTGCCTTGAAAGTTGGTAGTGACTATGGTTAATAATATAAATATATCGACCAAATTGTAGTTAATGTTTATTGCAGATATATTATATGATTAGATATCTCACAGGTTTTCTCCAAACATAACCTAATCCTGCTCATTCATAGTCATCCATTGATACTATATAGTTAATAATCTCATATTGAGGTGATCTTAGAGGCGTACAATATATTTGACAAGGATTTATGTAGAAGGCATAGTTAGCAAGTTGGTAGCTTAATAAATCGTCGAATCAAGGGCGAATTCATTACTCAATTGTTAATAAACTCTTATAGTTCCACATTTGAACAACGCTCAGTAGTCATAATCCATAAATAATTATATTTATCCTCGCTCCATGTGGATCATGCTCTTTTATTTACTAAAAATTGTGAAATGTGTTTATCAAGTTATAAGCCAATCGTAATTAGATCAAATTATAAACATGTAAACCTTGATCGCTATGTTTAGTCACAATATTGTTCGACTAGTTTATTTAATCTTTGGAATTCGACGTTTTAATTCAATATAAATCTATTTTCTATTTTTTGTACTGTATCATAATTAATATGCTCTTCATAGTAAATTCGTATGATACGAAATAGTCATTGTGCGATTTTGTTATAATGTGTAAGAAAAATAAATAAATAAGTACACTTTGAGTTTTACTGATTTGCAAATATTAATTGTTTATTATATTTACATTTAAATAAATAAATAACAATAAATTAGAACTGACATTTTGATTTCGAAAAAGTCAAATATTTAGCTTAGTAAGCCGGTGCGGAGTAAGCCGGTGCGGAGTAAGCTGGGGCCTTGTAAGCTGGGGCGGAGTATGAGGGAGCGGAGTATGGGGCTTTGTAGGCCGGGGCGGAGTAAGATGGGGCCTTGTAGGCTGGTGCAGAGTAGGCTGGTGCAGCGTAAGCTGGGGCCTTGTAGGCTGGTGCAGAGTAGGCTGGTGCAGCGTATGCCGGGGCCTTGTAGGCTGGTGCAGAGTATGATGGTGCGGAGTAAGCTGGTGCGGCGTATCCACCTTCCTTCTTGACGACGGCGTTGAAACCGTTGTAGTCGTCAGCGGTGTATTCGACAGTGCGGGTGGAACCGTCGGGTTCGACCAGACTGTAGGATCCCTTGACGTAACCGTTTCCGTCGGCGTATTCGGATTGGCTCTTGACGTCGTAGGTGTGTGGGTCGTTCACGCTGTATTCGAAGTTGTACGGGGCTGGGGCATCGTAAGATTCGTGTCCGTACGCTGCTGGTTTGTAAGCGGGTTTGTAAGATGGAGCAGAGTATGAAGAGGGTGCAGCGTATGCTGGGGCAGCAGAGTAAGCTGGTGCAGAGTAAGCTGGGCCAGCGGAGTAGATGGGTGCTGCTACGGGAGATCCGTAGGCGGTGGCCAAGATGGAGGCGGCGATGACTACGAACTATAATCAGAATTTAAATATTATTATTATCGTGTTATAACTCATAAGTTATAATTTTGTATACCACCATAGTATACAGTATCCCTACTATTAGAAATTATTAACCAGAAATCGCATTTTAAAATACGAATAATCATACCTAAATAACTACATTTAAATCACGACAAGGCGCGTATTAGAATATTCAATTTAAAAAAATATGTTTAATCTACTGGTATGATTTATTTGTTTAAAATATATAACATACTTATACAGTTACGTACTTTTTATGATCTTAAATATAATATAAATAAGATTTTTTTTTAATATTGTTTAAATAAGAAATTTTATAAATTGTATTTATAATATAAGCTACTTATATGATATTCTTATTTTCTATGTAATATCATAAAAAGTAATTGACACACTTTTTGCCGGTTTCCTTTTATCAACTATTTCATTATTAAATAAAATTATATTTTAACAAGAAAATTAAAGGTATTTTAGTTAATAAACAATAACAATTATATTATCAGTCAAAACTCAATTATAGAGTAATAAATTCAACATATAAAATAAACTTCAATTATGTAACTTAAAATAGCTTGACAAAGTCTGTATTTAATCTCTGTTCTAWATATTATATGTGGGCAGGTACTAAAAAAATTGTTTRAAAATAACAATAAAATTTGGACGATTTTTAAAGAACATGGTAGTATTACAAAATTAATTGAAAGTGATATAATTTAATTAAGTTTTCCAGAACTGTATCATAAAAGTAAGTTTTGTAATAAAAATATACGTAGAAACTATATTTCATTCACATTGGTTTTAATACAGATTATTTTACAACGTAATATTGTTTATTATAAACTTTAAAGGGCAAATATCTGACAGTTTATTAATACATTTAATCGAGTCCAAAATAAGTTTAAGCATTTAAATATTTTGGAAACGTGGCTAAACACAATGTATATTTATTTTAACAATGAATGATAATGATAAATATAAATGAATTCATAAAAATAAGAAGAATGATAAGCACAAATTTCTTGAATAGACACTAGAAAGATAATTTGTTCCGAATTACAATAAACTATTTTTCGATTCATTCCACTGTGAATTAAAATGATAAAGCTTTATTGCATTCATACGTGTAAAGGTTTAAATTAAATCATGACAATTTGTTCAATATCTATACACTGTCAATAATTTCCAATCATAATATTTAGATAATCGTCAGTAAAAGAGTAAATTATTTCTATACACACCAGAATAATACATCGCAAAGAGTTTTGTCTCATACAGAATCGTTAATAATAATTAGTAGTAACAAGCTCAACAATAAACAGTTATACAGAATCCCGATGAATCCGCGTATAATACTGGATGTAAAGACCAGTCGTAAACCGACGCAATGCGGAATACAATGGAATACACGAATAATACAACACAAGCCATAGGATTGCGGGGAGCGTGAAGTCATGAAAGTTTCATACGCTCCGAAAAATATGTCCTATTTTTTTTTTCAAGTCGAAACCTAACTTTCCGCACATAAAACGTACCTATTAAGCAAAACTTGGCTTATAAGTTATATAATATTAATCTACTATAAGTTACTCACCATGTATGCCATTTTGATGATTTTTAGTGGCTGTATTTGTGTGCTTGAATTGCGACAGTTACAGATCAAACGTTGGTGATTGATAGTTGGCAAATGTGGGTGAACCGATTTATATAGTCTCGTTGCGGTGCAGGTGGTATACCGGGTATCCGACGGGGGAGAAGGGGGCTTTGGCGGTTTTTCGGCGACGACGAAGGACAAACGCACCAAACACGCCCTACTTGTCCTCCGGCTTCGTAGCCGGGTGTAAGCGCCAATTCAGTTAATTTAATTTTTTTTTCGAGGTTTAGACGTAATAGGTACCACTGTTGTTTTCGTCGAACCCGACCACCGTCTCCTGTCACCCCCTTGCCCCTCCCGCCTTCATTTCCACGGCTGAGGTTGAACCGGATGTACATTGATAATTTATCATTTTCTATGTAGTCATATAGATATTACAGTTTTTTTCCTTTTTTTTTTATGACACACGTTAATTTCATCTCCTCACGGTCACCGTGTAATATTATACGCATTTTACCTGGTTGGAGAGTAGACCACTGCTCCAATTCACTCGGCCTCGGCCGTTCTTAAGCACCAGATACGTCATGTACACGAGATGTGCATGAAAAAAGTCATATTTCCGTTTTGTTTGCTTTAGATGAGGGCTTTCTTCTGAAAAAAATTATTTAAAACACGAAGAGTTTGGTGATCCTATTTTTTATTTTATTTTTTTGTTACCTCAAATGTATTTTTCAAAAACCATTTACTTTGAAATAAACTGAGTTAACTTTATTTGGCATTCTTAGTAAGTACCATAATATAAATGATAAAATATTTTCAACCAAATATTGAGAATTGTATTGTTCTTAACCAGCTATTATTACAAACTATAATATAATATACTTAATAACTTGTACAGAGTATAATATTGTATACTATAATTTAAAGTTTACGAAMAATTTTAAAAATGACTTAAATTATTATTATTGTTATTATAGTAGGTACCTATGTATAATAATTATTAATTATAAAGCTAGTTTCTGAGTTCCATCAAATTTAATGTTTTTAATATATAGGTATATATCTTTATAAACTGAATTTAAATTGTTTCATAAAATACAAACATTGAAACAAAGAAAAAACAATATTTATTTTAAATGCGACAATGGCTTTTGAACCATTACAAAATAATACATTAAAACCACTTGTTTTAAAATATCAACCGATGACCTTATGATTTGTAAGTTTCATTTAGTTTATAAATTGATAAATTTAAACATCAATACATTAATATTACACATTCGATAAAAAAATAATTACTACAACAAAATAATAATATGTTCTAAAATCATAGTTTGAATATTTTTAATATTGGTAATAACATTTTATAACGATTTAGAAGATTTTTTACGAATGAGAGATAAATCTTGTGTATACTTAAAMAATTTTCTAAAGTAAAAATTAGCAAAATGATTATGGAAATAATGAAAATATTTTTACGATAAAAATACTTACCTATATATTACTTTCAGTTTAAATAAAAGATAATTATAAAATAAAACTTTAAGCTTATTCTTATCACACATGTAAAAATAGCATCTCTGTTATGCTCTTGTCTATATTTATTAATGTTGATCCTTTTTCGCAATTTCCTAAAAAAACAACTACTATATTGTGAAAAATTACATTTTTTGTCTAATTTCCAAACTTTTAATGTCCTTATAAAAGTTGTAGAGCTCTACTCTACACACTGAAGTACCCTTGTAACATACAACCTTGTAACTTGTAGTTAGAAAGTATTTATCATATATTTAAAATTTATCAATCATAAAGTATGTTAGGTTTCAAAAAAATATGCTTAGGTACACTCAAAACTAAATTAAATCTATTATTTTAACATGTATATTCAAAAATATCTTGGTAGTATTTTAGAATTTATAGTTAAAATGTTTGATAGTAAAATAAATCAAAACGAAGATCCTGAAGTCTTAATAGTTGAAAATCCTGGTAAAAAATTGTTTTCACTTATATACATATATATATTTTTAAGTACAAATTAGAGAAAAATAGTATTCTTTGAACCATCATTAACAGTGTTCATTTATTATTTGTCATTGCGTACATTTAGTTAAATAATTATATTAAATGATATTGGTACAATTATATTTTAATTAAATACTAATATTTATACTAATAATATTATATATTATTATATTAATCATTTTACTAAAATCGTAGACAATTAAAAACTGTATGCATTGTTAAACGTCGTAGTGTTTTATCAATCTCTGCACACGCTCGAGTTAGAATCATCGATGGCTCTCGATATGTATCATGAACACGATACTGATATTTTCGAACACGTTATACTAAGTACGSCGAACGTCGTAATAGTTAGTTTAAATAAAAAATACGATGATAAAAATCCGTTATGGTCGTGTAAGACTTTATACAAAAAACGAACGTATTGGTTTATCATAAACCTTTATGTGCTCTATTTCAACACGTCGGTTATTTCATTTAAAATCCACCTAAAACCGGTGTTCTTTATACACTAATAAATGAYAATAATATGATAAACCTTTATCCAATAGGACGGACCGGTATTTTGTTAAAATCAGGTATACCATGGAAAATGGAAAAATACGTTTTTGGTACCAAAAATTCAGAAAAAATTCAGGATTATTAACTGGTAAAAGAGCGTATTCAGCTACGAAAAAATAAGATAGCTATTATGACGAATACAATATATCCAAACCGTCCATTTAAAAATTAAAATAATCTACATAAAATTGTTGAAAGGCCTTATATCTCATTGAATGTATGATTTGTTTAAAAAGGCGTTTATAAAATTCAAATTGTTAAAAAAAGCTCTTCTAAAACCCATCTGGACCTACGGGCTCCAGCTCTGGGGTTGTGCAAAAAATCAAATATACAAAAAATTCAAGCTTTTCAAAACATTGCCCTAAGAAAAATCACAAATGCCCCTACCTTTGTATCCAATGTTACGCTCCATGATCTAAGAATAACAAAAGTACTTGACGAAGCAAAATGCTACTACAAAACATTTCACATCAAACTACCTCTTCATCCTAATCCTCTTATTAAAAAACTATCTACCTTGTCCATTCCAGGTAATCCACCCAGACGGCTTAAGCGAAGATGGTGTCGGGACCTTCTGTCTCAAGATTAAAATTAGCTTAACTTAAAAATTTAATAACACAAAATAGGTAGTGTCACCAATGGGTGGCTTCTTCCCTCAAAAAAATCATATGTAAATACCCTATGCACATTTGCTTATTGTTCTAGTTAAGAACAGATTGTAAATTTCTTATAAAAAATGAAAAAAAAAATTGTTAAAAGAGCCTAAACCATATTCATTTTTTTAAAACTAATGTATCATTAAATATAAAATAAATGTAGCCTAAGCAATATAATGAGCAATTTTGGTAACACGGAGTATCTGCATGTTTAACATAATGTATAAATAAATGTTCTATCTTTGAAATTGAATTTTTAATCAGTTTTATTTGTTTCCTGAAAAAAAAAATCAAATTTTGGTATACACCCTTTTAGCAAAGTACCGTCGAGTCATGTCACAATATTTTATGTTTTAAAAAATATTATTCATCGTAATTGATAATAATAATAGTACAATATGATAATGGATCGGTGAGACATTCGAACAATTATAATATATATTATATGAGTGCGCACACTGCAGTATAATATGCATAATATTATATCATAACACGGCGGTCTATTAAATCATGTTCGGGTTACGATATTATGTAACGTTGGCCGTGTGTAATATTGTAGAAAACTTGATAATTGATCCGATTGGCGGTTAGGTACCTGATCCGAGCTGCACAGGTCAAAAAACACAACTTCGCAGTGTAGAACCGCTTATAATATTATACCTATATATCCACGGGTTCCCCTGCACAAAGATGCAGCAATGAAAAACACCGCAGTAACCGAACACAATACATTATTACCAGGTTATAGGTGCACAATGCCCGCTAATCTTCAGCATTGCGACAATCCACTCGGCTGGTCGGACAATAATATTTATATTATGTGTTACCGATCTCGTTCCGCTTTGGAACCATAATACATTGTAATGTTATGGTAAACGACCGGTTTAATGCAATCAGTAGACAGATTGATAATTAACCACTGAAAACGAAATACACGACTTATTGTAATATAACACGTCTGGTATAATAAATAATTACTAAACTGTAGTTTACCTAGTCCAAATAGTCCAATATATTTATTTCTGTGTGATAATAAAATATTTTTTAACGCACCGGCAAATATTTTCGTCGGTATTCTAAATACCCATCGATATAATATTATTATATCACTGTGTAATGGCTCAAAATTAAATACGTCTTGTCTACGATTTATTTCTCACTCTCATCCATAGCAGCAGTCTATAGGTATACAACTAAAAATTTCTAAAATCATTTTGTAAAAAAAAAAAATAATAATGTTCGATTGATGAACGTGGACGATTATTATTATAAAAGTTCCATGCGTTTTCTAAAGTTTTCGGTGCGCGAGAAAAAAAGTTTGCTCTGAAATAAGTGATACTTATCAGAGAACATTGCAAAATGTATGTAAATGTATCACGGAACATCAATATAGCTATACTAAACAATTATAGAAATGCTTCCAAGGTACAAACGGAATATCAGAGCAGTGGTTTTATGTTGACATCGCATTGCACAAAAATGTCTATAAAAATTGTTCAACGTTCAAAATAAGCAGATTGTAAATTATTGCCAGACAGAAAATAAACAGTTTATACAAGAAAAAAATATTTTTATACATATTTTGATTGAATAACAGCAAAAAAAATTGTTTTATATTTATTAAATTTAAATCTGTTGAAAGAGCTTTTTATACGTGCTAGAAATTTATTATGATGTTGAATAAAAACCAACGTCTATGCTTTTTCACATTTCTTTGACGTTAAGACTTTGTCCRAGTTGTTCAGTATTTTTTCTAAAAAACAGCAAGTATCTATTATATTTTAAGCACTGACTAGAAAAAATGTCTAAACATAATTAATTTATCTATTTTTCATAAACATATATACTTATAAAAATAAAACACAATTCA